ACCTCATCTCTATGAGTTGCACATCTTTGCTTACATTTGAATCAAGCTCACGCTGTGCCAGAGATAGCGTGATTCAGTTTCTCCCAAACCAGTTTGAATTGAACCCCAAAACATTCAAAGCACACATAAAAAGTGTATGATTTGAGCTTTGGCTTGCTCCCTGCTTTCTTATGCTAAAGGAAGCCTCCCACAGTAACTTTTACCATCACTTCTGGCCATTCAAGCACATGTAAAGTTGGAATACAATTAATATAATCCATTGGACAACCATGCTCTTTCATCAAAATTAATGCATCTATGATAGTTGTATTTGATAGGAAAATAGAGTGAACAGTTGCAAGTTATACATAAATGATGAAAAGCTGGAGCAAATAGAATTTGAATACATTGGTGGAATGTTTCCTAATAGTGAGAAAATGGATGGAGAAATGCTGTGGAAATACAAGGAGAAAGGTAGTAGCTTATATATGAGACGTTGTGAACGGATGTTTGTTGAAAGAAGCAAAAATAACCCTGAAGAAGAACATGCTTCTACCCACTTTGTTATATAGAAGTGAGAGCTAGGAGTATCAAGAGAAGTTGAATGCAGTAAAAAGGGGATACAGGCAGTCCTTGCTTAATGACCCTAATTGTGAAGCAGTTGTTAGGTGAAACATCATGCAACTGCACCACTTAGCAACAGCTGCTCCGGCAGTCTTGGTTGCGGTTGTTAGGCAAGGACTGGCCATCATTAGGTGAGGACCTCATGCTTCTCCTGCCCTGCTGTGCTCGCATCCGCTTCAGCTCCTCCCACCCGCCTATCTCCCCCCTAATTCTGCCCTTTTGGCCATCCTGCACTCCGCCATCACCGCCTACTGCCAGCCCCAGCTGACCTTCACTATCTTCTTCCTACCGCTGCTGATGAGGTGTGCCTGGCCAAGGCACCTGCTGGCCCTTCATGAGGCCGTGTGAGTTGAAGCGCATGCTGTGATCATAAATGCAGGTGGGCTGCCAAGTGCCTGAATTTTGATCACATGACCACGGGGGCACTGCAATAGCTGTAACTTTGAGGACAGCTGTAGCTACCATTAGTTCAGTACTGTTGTAGCTTCAAATGGTCGCTGAGTGAATTGTCATTAAGTGAGGACCGCATGTTCTTAAGAAGTATGTGTGGTAAAACCAGAAGAGATAGGGCAAAAAATGAATGATGAATGAATGTGGATTGAATACAAGCATGAGTGACCAGTGGAAAAGAAATACATTGAGATGGTTTGGTCACAGAGAGAGAATGAATGAAAATCAAATTGCAAAACAAATATATGAAGGAAGAGTGAATAGGTTGAGAGGAAGGGGAAGGCCGGGAGAGTCACAGTCAGACAAGGTTGATGAGAACCTCAAAGAGAGTTGAGAAGTTTAAAGAACAAAAAGTAATGTATAAAGCAGCAAATGTCATAAAATTGATGATGGTTTGCAAAGATTAAAAAATCTGGAGTTTTAGCTATGTTTCTTTTTCATCTCTTGCCTTTAATTTCTTTGGTTTGTTATTTCTTACTCCTTTTCCTCACTGCATATTTTTCTTAAATTAGTACATATATACATACATACCCTAGTTTTTTAAAAAGACAGTGTGAACCAGATGTGATAGTTTTGCCTAATAGTTGAGGAGGCTTCCTTTGCTTTTTAAATGAGTTAGATAATTTCAGCAACCTTCTCCCAAAGAGCAGGTTCAGAAAACAATAAAAAAATTATTTAAATCCTCTTTCTCAATGCCAAGGACCAAATCTACTCCTCCAAGCCATGTGCAAGATTGTTTATGAATCTTTCATTTTACGTCTAGGTTGACCTCCTTCCCTTCTTTAAAAAATAATGGGCAAACCTACATGGGAATATAGTTCTGGGACGGCTATGAATGTCTTATATGCCCATTATCTGGAGCAGAAATTTTTCTGTTAAGTGGCAGCAGCCCTGTATGCTAATATCTTTTTCCTCTTCAGAGTTGGATGTCTGTGTGGCACCAACAGTGCCTTCCCTGACTGACTGTGCTCTCTGCTCCAGCAGTAGAGAAGGCGTGAGGAGAGACGGTGAGAGCTCCAAGGTGGAATGGGTCACCTACAGGCCCCTGAGAAGTTCTGTCTCGGGGGATGTTGTTCAGTGTCTGTCTCCGACTAATATTTACAAGAGAAAATGTTCCCATGTTTAGGAATATTTTAGGTAAAGCTAGAGTCGTGACTGAGAGCTAGTTTGGTGTAGAGGTTAAGGTACCAGGCTAGGAACCAGGAGACCATGAGTTCTGCTCCCACCTGAGGCACGAAGCCAGCTGGGCCAGTCCCTCTCAGCCTTAGGAAGCAGGTAGTAGCAAACCACTTCCAAAAAACCTTGCCAAGAAATTGCAAGGACCTGTCCAGGCAGTCTTCAGGAGCCAAGACTGACTCAAACACAAACACACACACACACACACACACACACACACAGTCACTATTATCTGATAAATGAAGCTTCACTTGTAATAATTCATAGTCCATTGATACCTTACAAAGGCATTTCAGTGTGATGTCCTGTGCTGTCTTAGCTTTGTCCTATTCTGGAGCCCCCTGGGTTTCCCTAGGTTTTTGCTTCCTTAGTTGAAGTTCTTTTCCATTTGATGAGCTCTGTGTCTGACCATCCTGGGATATTTACAATGGGGCAAAAAAGTATTTAGTCAGCCACCAATTGTGCAAGTTCTCCCACTT